TTGGTGTTTTCACAAAACCTCCAAGGTTTCATAAATTACACTAACATCCCCTAAGGTTTCAAATTGTTTTCACAATATTCCTTCTGTTAAGTTTCCGTCCAAAAATTGTTGATGTCATAAATTTTTTTTCTCCAAACGACAAATTTAACCTCAAAGATTAAATTGCACATACACCCCTGAGGTCTATCTGTATTTTCATGTAACCCTGTCAGGTTTGCAAATTCATAAAAGAAAAAAAAAGGAACATTATGACAATTATATACATAAATATTTGCGAAATGAAATAAATAAATTATTTTTCAAAACATCACAATCAACTGTTTGTGAATATATGTATTAGGGAGTTACAATAGTTAATCCTACTAATGATAGGAAATGGTCACTTGTCAGTTACGTTGTTATTAGGCCATAACTCCATATTTATGTTTATGATAATGGCTTATTGTAACTGTAGATTGTTCTCTACAGACTTCTATGTATATTATATAATGATCATATGAGCTAATGGCTACCGCCGATTTGCGATCCTCCAGTTGCCTCATCCGTAAGGGTGTTTATTTCTGTCTAGTCCTTTTTCCTCTCCTCTTCTCAAAGCTGAATATGTTTTTTCCCCCTCACCTCCACAGCCTGGTGCCTCTTCCACTCCTTAGATACCTAGTCCCACTCCTCATCCATGTCCGTCTCTTGACATGATGGTCATATCTCTGTTTTCCCTCAGATACCACACCTCTCTATTGTTGGTTTCTCTCTTTCTCTTGAAATCTCTCTCCACTTCTGTCTCCGTTACGCTGTCTCTCTAGCCGAGCCGTCAACGCTCACCGAGCCTTATCCTAGTCTGTGATCGTGGTTTCTCTCTCTCATGTTTTTCTGATGGTTTCTCTATCATGGTTTCCATATTTTCCTTTTGTTTGTTGATGCTGCCCGTCGTCGTTCACCTAGCCGTCTCTCTTTCCTCCGCGAGCCTTGTCAATCTGCCGTGCTACACTGCTGCTATTCCCTTTGCATAGCCCCTGTTTCCCTGTGTCCCAAGTTGGTTTCACCTCCTATCCTCTACTGCTGTGCTGCCCCCCCTCTTAACCCCATTATTCCCTTCAAATAATCCTTCTGCTCTCTCTGTATGCATTCCTTTTTGCTTTCCATGTGATGAATTTTCTTTTGTTTCCATTGAACAAAAACAAAAATGCATTTGTCTGACTTATTTTTCTTTCTCATTCCTCTTACATGTCTATTTCTCTTTATCCTACCTAGAGGGTGATTCCTAGGTAGAATTATGTTTCTCAGGTGCCTATAGAGTTGTTTCCCAGTTACATTTGACTTGTCTGTCAGCTCGTCATTTTATTCTTTCCTTCCATGAGCCTCTGCGCTCCTTCACTTGCTGCCTTTCAATGGGCGTTATGTTTACTTTGTTTCTCTCATGCCGCTGTTGCAACTCTGGAGATTGGAGTTATTTTTTTATTTTGGTTCCCTTTACTGGACTACTACAGCCGACTACTGCGGCCATCTCCATCACTATGTAGTTTCTTCATTCAAATCTTGCCATGTTGTGCCAGCTCGATTTGCGGGGGAGTATTAGGGAGTTACAATAGTTAATCCTACTAATGATAGGAAATGGTCACTTGTCAGTTACGTTGTTATTAGGCCATAACTCCATATTTATGTTTATGATAATGGCTTGTTGTAACTGTAGATTGTTCTCTACAGACTTCTATATATATATATATATTGTATAATGATCATATGAATGAATTTAAGGGAAAATCAGTTTCTACAATATGTATTGCTTTGAAGATAATAACACCATGCCCCACATTTCACTTACAACTTTTGTTTATTGTTCTAGGCAATGAGACAAAGAGATGAAGATTTAGCAAGAGAAGTTGAGCTGCTGAAGAAAAAACTTGAAGAGCTGGAACAACTTGCCAAAGGACGAGGAATTGCTGGATTTTTCAACTTCAGGAATGCTCAAGGCCCTGAGAATGGAAAGGCTAAAGTCCCAGTTTGATCACAGCAAAAATGAAGTACAGCACGTAGTATTACTGTAAGAACCAACCCAGCTTGATTTATACTTATTCTCTTCCAGAATGGCTTGACCAGTTGTATTTGCATGTATTTCGCAAACCTCCGAGGACAATTTTTGCAGAAAATCAGCGAGTCCACAAAACTGAAGTCCTTCAACTTACAACTTACAAGGCAAGCTCACACAAATCTGGATTATAACTCACACTGCAAAGATAGCATTTCAGGATTTAGTGATATTATTTGTGGACTCATCTGAGACTAGTTCAGTAGTTGTGACTTTGATACGAGCCATAAAATTAAAAACCTTCAGTCACTCTTCTTCGGCTTCAAAGCATTATTCATCCAATTGGTCGATTTGCTGTTTTGAAACATAAGCCATGTAACGACGTGAAGTTTGAGTCTCTCTGCTTTACCTTTGTTCGACAAGGAAAAGATGTTCAATAATTTCTTTGAGGGAAATTTTCACAAATGCCACCTGAATTAAAGCGGTGTGTGCTCGATAAATTTAAAATAAATAAATTGACAACTTGCCACTCATACTTCATACATATCCTGATATACCGCATTCGTCAACTTCTGGCAACGTTTATTTTTAAGGGAGTTTCACTAAAACACCCAAAATGGAGGTTGAAATTATAAAAAAACCCAACACCCAAAACACTTTATAAACACACCCAAAACTCATCATTACACACACTCAAAACCCATTTATAAACACACCCAAAAAGTTGACTTTGGGGTTGATTTTGGGTGTGTTTCTATGTTTAAATAGTGCTTGGGGTTTTTTATAAATACATGTCTAGGATTGGGTTTATTTATAAATTTGTATATTTTTAAATTCATCCGAGCCTTTGTGTCCATTTTCCATCCAAATAAAAACTAAAAATAATGATCAATAACAATCCATTTATACCCATTTAATTCAGAAATTCACTATTTTTATTGTTTGATAAAGAAAGGATTATAAAAATAAAAAAAATAAACCAAAATGTTTATTTATGTAATTATGTTATAAATTAATCATAAAGAAGAAAGAAAAAAACATTTGACATAATTTATAGATCTTCAATATTGTCTACTATACAACAATAATATACATATTATAAATAAAACATAATTTTGGGGGATCTCAGTCGCAGTAATTCTTTATTGTTCATTTTCTAATGTATGTTTTAGTATATATTTTTAGATTTATTGATCTATAAATTTTATTATGATATATAATAACGTAAGTGCAACACAAAAATCACACGTCATGTCAATGCGATTTGCATTAAAAATGCGTAAATGATGTACATGTAAAAAAATTCTCTAGAGATTTGCAAAACATCATCCGAGATTTTTTTTTTTTTGTTGGTGAAAAACAAAATACAATTACAAAGATCCTCGAAGGATCTGAAAACCAAACAAGTCAAACAGTAATCTATATAAAAACATTAAAAGGGAAATTAGTAAACCAAATGCAAGAATTAATATATAAATGTTGCTTCTTGGCAAGAGTATCGACCATATTTGCTTCAAGAAAGATATGCTTGATCAACACCTGAGGAACAAATTGTAGTAAATACCAAATGTCCTCGACAAGAGATGTGATATTCTAGGGAGGTGCTTGAGCTTGGATGGATATTCGTTAAGATATTGGGGGAGAGAGAAATCGAACCTATGATGTCAAGCGCAGGGGTAAATGCTCGTTAACCACTTGAGTTACAAGCCCCTTGCTTCCATGGGTATTCTTTGAATTGATTATATCTTGTTATTCCAACTTAAGTGAAGGAATGTTCTTTCTTCTTTTTTCCTTTTTTTCCCTGATACAAGAAAGACAAGATTTCCATAACAAATTTCCTATATTTGGTTTCCAGCAAGTAGTTACAAGAATATATGTTGGAGGTTAGAGGTTTTATACTGCAGCCTTGCTGGTATCAATTGGAACCTTTGCCCAAATAAGAGGCAATGATCCTTGCAGAATTAGAAGTAGGACAATGCTTGTCCTTATAAGTATGGCTCTGGGGACTCGCTTGCGTGCTGAGACATTCCCAGTTCGAAGCATATTTTGTATTGACATTCCCACTTTGAAGCCACTCGAACAAATTCAAAACAAACTCCAACCAAGCATTTGCCTCATAAAAGAAGGCTTCATATTCTACAAGGATTCCTAGGTCGAAAGATCCAGGGATCATGTATAGAGAATCCTTAGAATGTTTTCATTCCTGACCTTAGAGGATCCATTTTCTTCTAGATACATCATGATGATTTGAATTCAAACTCCTCATGGAAGAAAGTTTGGCGTCTTCTTTGCCAGTTGAGTATTTTCTGGGTGGCAGGCAGCGGGCCTTGAAGAACATATTGGCTGGGTAAACGCCTTCCGCTCTTAGGCATAGGCCGGCCATTCTAGGGAGCATGTCTGTAGTACGAACTTGACCTCAGCGTAGTGTTCAACAGAGAGATAGTCCTCAAATGCATGCCTAAGAATTCTTAAACATGTGTCTTCTTTCTGTAAGCATGTGGCCATTATGGGAATTACTGGTGAATTAGTACACAAGCCACGCCCTATGCTTCTCCCATTGGAATGGTGAAAAGAATCTACGCAGATGAAAGATGTAAGAATCATACCCATGTTCCAGACTCAGTGAGAGCTGCATGTAAGCTCTTAGTGAGATTTACCACCAAGGAACAAACCAATGAACTCACATCCACATGACATAAGTTAACTTGTTTTTAGTTCATATGAAGTGATGCCAGCTGATCAGCTCGGCTCAAGTAGGCTGTCAGTCAAATGAAAGTCACGCTTATCCAATATTTGAGATTTTTCTGAAGCAGCAGCAAAGCACCCCATATGCTTGCATGAAACTGGCATAACAAATTGGGTTTGACCGCTGAACAAAAGTATCATGTATGGAGCAGTCAAGTAGAATGCTGAATCTAAATGCCAACCTAACAGAAAGATTCTGCATTCAGAAACCTAGGCATTGACAAAGTACTGTTTAAACTGGCTCTTTCATTTGTTGGTCCAATGCACTTAATGCACTGTAGATAATGCTTCTTTCTGGATGGGACCAGTCTCCAGCCATAAAAAGGTTCTTCCTCCTCTCCACCTCTATCCAGCTGCATCCTGCTGGCTTTTTTATGTCTCTAGTTCTCATCATCCTTCTTACCTCCATGACCCCATCCCATCTAGCTTCTGCTGCATATAGATTTGACATCACCACATAGTTCCCAATATTATTAGCTTCAATTTCAAAGAGATGATCTGCCACAACACGGCCCAATTCCACCTCATGATGAGTCCTGCAAGCACCCAGCAGTGTTCCCCATACGTTAGCATTAGCTTCAATAGGCATCCTCGACACAAAAGAAAATGCATCCTCAATTCGTCCACCTCTAGCAAGGAGATCCACCACACAAGCATACTGTTCCATTGTTGGTTTGACCCCATGAATCTCTTCTATTGAATAAAATATCTTCAACCCTTCATTCACCAGGCCAGCATGACTGCAAGCTGATAAAACAGCAGTAATAATAACATTATCTGGCTTCACACCCAAGTCCAGCATATGAAAGAAGACCTTCAGTGCTTCTTCTCCCCTACCGTGCATGGCAAACCCACCAACCATAGCTGTAAACATAACCAGATCCTTGTGCAGGCTTGACTGAAAAAGCTTATAAGCACATACTATGGAACCACATTTTGCATACATATCTAACAGAGCTCCCTTCAAGCACAAGTCATCAAGACAAGCTCTCACCACATATCCATGACACTGCCTCAGCAGGTGGACTGAGGCCATTTGAGCAGATACAGGAAGGAGGCTCATAATGGTCATCGCATCAGGCTTCATTCCATGAGCTTGTAACTCATGGAACAGGCTGAGAGCTTGAGCAGGACAATCATTTTCAGCATAAGCTCGAACCATTAGATTCCAAGTGGTGAGATCTGTTTCAGACATGCTGTTAAATATGATATATGCATCATCGCGTGACCCACAATTCACATAAGCTGAAATCATTGAATTGCAAGTAACCAAATTCCTTTTACCCAATAAACTCTGAAAAATGTTGAATGCATACTTCATGTTACCACATTTGGCATATGCATCCAGGATTGCATTTGCAATAGTAGGCTCAATATCATCACACAAAAACCCAGCCCTAATTGAGTAGCTATGAATTTCTTTAACCTTTCCTACTCTCAAAATTGAAGCACAAAATTGTATTATGGTCAAGATGGTTATATGGTCAGGCCTCATGCCGTCCCTTAGCATATCATCTAATAGGTTGAGGAACTCTGTACTATGCCCAATCTCTGTGAAGGCAACTAGCATGGTATTCCATGATATCAAATCTCTCCTCAAAATCATCGAAAAAGTCTTGAAAGCTGCTTCTATTTTGTAGCATTTTGAATAAAAACTAACCATGGCATTTCCAACCGCTGTTGCCTCAAATAGGCTAGGATGTCGGAGAATGTACCCATGGATCTTTTTCCCCACCTCCAAGTTTTGTAAATGTGCACAAGCAGGAAGAATGCTGACTATACTTACAGAATCCGGCCTGATCATCTGCAGAGCGAGTAATTTTCCAAACAACTCCAATGCTTTTGACCACTCACCATTTGATGCATATCCTGCAATAATTGCATTCCATGAAACCAAATCTCTTGATTTCATCCTGTGGAACAAGGATTCTGCTTCTTGCATTCGTCCAAGTTGTAAATAGGAACTTACCAAAGCATTGCACACCGAAACATCTGCTGCCAATTCATTCCGGCGCAGCACATAACAATGGATCTCTCTCCCAGAGCAGTAGGCAACGTCTTTATCTAAAGAAGCACAAACGGCCAGAATATTTGCAATAGTTGCATAATTTGGTTCCACTGGTCCTTTGAGCATCCAACTGAATAACTTGTATGCATAATTTATGAGACTATTTTCTGCAAACCCTGCAATTATTGCATTCCATGAAACGACATCTTTGTCAGTAATGCTATTAAACACAGCATAGGCATCACCAGAAACTAGCCCACATTTTGAATACATTGATATAAGAGCATTTCCAACAAGGA